CCCTGCCTTGTTCTGCAGGGTTTGGCCAGCAGTCTGGGTAACAACAGCTCCAGGTTGGCCTGGACTTTCTGTGTGATCCAAGATCACTGGCCCTCTGGGTGTCTCAGTCTCTCCATCAATAAAGTGGAAAGGGGACAGTTAAGCTAGGCTCCTCCCTCCATGCACCCTAGGATTTGGGGGTTCAGAAGTAACTCACCTTGAATGTCAAGCAGAGAGAAATGAGGGTTGCTGGGAGCTTCAGGCACCAGGCGGAAATAGAAGCGGTGCCCACCCTGGGGCTCGTCTCTGTCCACCACGCTGATGGTCTGGATGAGCTAAAGGGTGAGGAGGGGGCAGGGGGCTGATGTGAGGCCACACCCACTCTGGGCCTGGGTAGAGGAGCCCCTGGGCTGTCTTGGCAGCAGCCCACAGTCCCCAACCCCTGGGCGATACCTGGCCTGGCTTGGCGTCCTCACACACGGCTGCCTCATAGGGTGTGGCTAGTTCTGGGGGATTGTCATTCACATCCAGGATTCGGATCCTTAGGGATGCCCGGGAGAGCTGGGCATGATTGTCTGTAACAAGAGCACAGGTGGAGGGTGAGACCTAGACAGCGTCCCTCCTGCTGCTGGCTAGGATCAGGCAGGGGGGTCACACTGAGAGACTTATGAGTTGATCAAGATGCTACTAGGACCAGGACTGAGGTCATCTAGCATAAGTGGGTTATCATCACCATCACTGTTATCACCACCATTGCCATCACCATGACCACCATTAGATTATCACCATAGCCATCATCATGACTGTCACTGTCACCATCACCACCACTGCCATTAGCATCGGCACCACTGGCATCATCACCACAACCTTACCGCAGTAATCACCAATCATCCATCTCCATCACCACCATTGCCACTGTCAATGTCACCATTACTATTACTACTACCACCATTAAGTCATTACCACGACCACCATTAGTATTACCGCCACTTCCACCAACAACTATCAGTACCACCGTCACCTCCTCATCACTATTATGCTCATCAGTGCCATCACCACACCTCTGTTACCATCACTATTAGGTCATCCCCATCTCTACCGCCACCATTAGAATTATCGCCACCACCACCTTCATCATCTCTGCCATCATCACAAACACCAAGGCCGTCACTCCCACCACCCTCACTCATACCACCATCCCCAGCCCCATCATTACGCCCACCATCACCCATGTCACCACCACATCACCGCCTGCACTCCACCTCCCACACTATCATCACTGTCGCCAGCTCCATCCCATCCCCGCAGAGCGCGTAGCATGCACCTGGAGCATTCATGCCCATTATTTCGGTATCCACATTGCAGAAGAGAAACTAAAACAGGGAAAAGTTTAAAGACTTGATCAGTTGGCAACTGAACTTTCAAATCTCTCCTCTTTCAAGACCCAACCCTGAGAGGGGATGACAAGTCTCCCAGACGCGGGTCTTGGCCTGGGTCCTCAGCAAAACCATGAAGTCCCCACTCCTCCAACTGCGATGTCTTTGAGGTCAAGGCCTCGGTCGTATTACTCACTGGGTCTTCAGTATTGTGGGAGATGACACACAGTAGGTTCTAATACATTTGTTGAACAAATGAATGACTCCTGGAAGGATTCAGATGGAAAGGGGTTTGAATTCCAGGCAGGGTTCTGTCCTTGACCCAGTGTTTGATCCTGGGTAAGGCCTTTCCCTCTCTGATATCAGTTTCCACACCCAGAAAATGAACAGAGCATAGTGATTAAGATCTAGAACTCTGGAACCAAGTGGCTCTGATCCCAACTTCGTCACTTAGTAGCTGTGTGATACATGCCAAGTCACTCATCTTCTCTGTGCCTCAATTTTCTCACCAGCAAAATGAGGTTAGTAATAATGGGCTGGTTAAGAGGACAGACTGAGTCAATATCTGCAAAGCCCTTAAAACTGTGTATACAACACACAGCAAGTGCTACAGAAGGATTTGTTGAATAAATAAACACCCTGGAAAGGGGCTGTTCAGCAGTGATATCAGGTGACTAGGATGCTGGGACACCTCATCCCAGCCTGTTCTCTCTCAGTGACGCCCAGAATGTTGGCCCTTTCTCGCTGCTCCCCAGACCTCTGAGTGCTCACTGGTGCCCAGTCCTCGGCTCTCTTAGTCATGAGTTCATTACTCTCCATGGACATCCTCTGGGTGAGGAAACTACCCCCTCCCAGTCTGGTCTCTGGCCTGGCAGGGCAGGGAGATATTCTGGGGGAACCTGGTAGCTTCCAGGCAGCCAGGAGGCCTGTGAGGCTTGGGGGTAGTGGGACTGGTCACCTGACTCTTCCTTTGAACTCAGGACCCGTTGGATGCCGACTGCAGCTGCTTGTGTGTTGATAGAGAGAAAGGGAGACAGGGAGGCAGGTGCAGCCACCTCCTGGGACATCTGGGAAAGGAGGGGCTAAATCTTTAATTAACTCAGACCCCAACCCCTCTCTGGAGCTCCCCTTAGCCTGGGGCACCTTATCTTCTCAGCTCACCCAGATCTGCCGCTTTAGAGATTAGAAGGGGCTTTTCCAGGGGCGAGAGATGGGAGTCGTGACTGGGAATGCCGAGAGCCGTTATTTTTAAGTGCTGGAGAGAACTTAAACAGACAGACGGTGGGCGCTTGCTGGAGTCGGGAGGGTGAGGCCTGCTGCCAGGAACAGGCACTTCTCTCCCCACTGAGGCAAAGAGAGGGTAGGGGGCAGCCAGGGCCTGAATGCCCTTCCTGGGCACCCTCCTCTGCAGTGAGGGTGGTGCAGGGACAAGAGAGAGAAACAGAGTCCTGTGGGGCCACAGAAAGGAGACCTCAGGACAAGTTCCCTGGGTCCACGGCTGGAGAGACCCCATATGGCGCCATTTCTTTGGGTTCTGGGCATCTCCTACCTCTTCTTTTAAAGAAAATTCCAGCTTTATTGAGATATAATTGTCATATAACAGGGTGTAAGTTTAAGGTGTGCAACGTGATGACTGGATAGATGTATAGACTGTGAAGTGTTTGCACGGTCAGGTTAGCACATCCTTCATCCCACATAATTACCACTTTGTTGTTGTTTTGCCTTTTCTAAATGGCACTAGTCATGTCCTGGGAAAGCCCTGAACCCTCTGGCATGAGTGAGAGTCTCAGATCTAAGAGTTGGGGCAGCTGAGTAAGCCCAGAGGAGGTGAGCCTCTACATTGCCAAAGTCGCCACCTGCAAGCTTATCCCAGGGACCCCTGAACTGGGGGCTGGCCTGGATCCCCCAGAGCTTGTGGGCCAGCTCGAAGTCAGGATCCAGTGCCCTTGACATCACGGCAGTCTCCATCCTGGCTGCATGTTAGTCACCTGGGAAGCCTTTAAAACACACAAGTGCCTAGTTGGCGTGGCTCAGTGGTTGAGCATTGACCTATGACCCAGGAGATCGAGGTTCGATTCTCAGGGCACATGCCTGGGTTTTGGGCTTGATCCCCGGTAGGGGGTGTGCAGGAGGTAGCTGATCAATGACTCACTCTCTCATCATTGATGTTTCTCTCTCTCTCTCTCCCTTCCTCTCTCTGAAATCAATAAAGAAATATTTAAACAACAACAATGAAACACACACAGGTGCCCAAGGCTTGGCCATTGGTGGTTTTTAAGCAGATCCAAGAATCTAATGTATAGCATTGTTGCCAATCGCTGCCCTGGGTGATTGGCAAGTGGGGGAGTCCAGCCTGATGTTTTACCTCTGACTGACTTCCTCCAAAATGGTCCTGATCAATGTTAGCATCATTTGTAAGAATTGATAATAAAAATTCATACTTTTACCACCTTAAATGTTTCTGGTATAAAACATTAATTAATCTTCACCGCTGTGCAGGACTTTCCAATTTACAACAAACTTTCTTAACTATGACCTCATTTCATCCCCGAAACAGCCTGTTAAGGAGGTTTTATTAAACCCATTTTGTAGATGAGACAACAGGCCCAGAGAGGGGCAGGACTTTTCCCAAAGCCACAGGCAACTCAGCGGCAGAGCTGGGCTGGGTTCTAAGTCTCTTGACTCCAAGTTCAGTGCTTGGTCTAGATACAATGTCAGTGGGCCCTCTAGCTGCCTGGATATTTGTCCATCCAGTGACAACTACTGCCTTGACCCAGGTTCACACCAATCTCTCCCAATGCCAGCAGCAGTGCCCTCTCCAGGGGCCAGATCCCCCATGGGTCCCTCCCTCCGCCCCCTGGCATCTCAGTTCAGCTGACTGACATGCAAATTAGTTTAATTATTTCTTCTTCTAAAATAAATTATATTTTGCAGTAGCTGCAATATGTTGTGTCAGGCAAAATTACATTCAATATTTTTAAACTAATTGATGCAGCCTTGAGGAAGGCTGATTGACAGCCCAGAGCCGAGCAGGCCTGCAGCCTTAGCGATTCCTAAATTAAAATTAAACGTGCTTCGGCCTGGTGCTTCTTCCCTGTGCTGGCTCACCATTAATCTGGGAGGTGGCAGGTGATGCCCTGGGGGCCGAGGGGCTGAGAAGTTCAGTGGGTGCTTCAGGAAGAGACCAGGCTTGGGGCAGAGAATGGCTGTGTGGTATGGGTGGGTCTCTTACACTTTGGGCCCCAGAGTCCCTTATGTATAACAGATGGAGGGTTGGACTGAGCAATTTGGAGTTGGGACTTCTGGTTTTTGCTGACAATTATGGATTGAGCACCCTCTTTGTACCAAGGACACAAGAGTGAACAAGACTAACAAGGTCTCTCAGTCTAGTGGCAGGGGAAGATATTACTCCAGAGTATGAAAAAAATTGACGGATAAAAGTTCAGGAGCTGTGAGAGAAAGGAGGAGGGGGTCCTGCCCTGGTGGAGTACAGGGATGTTTTCTCTAGAGTAAGTGACTTTTAGGTTCAGATCCAAGTAGGAGGTAAAGGAAATAATGTGAAACCTATTGTTATAATTTTAAAAAAAATCTGCACCTGAGGATATTTTTTCCATTGTTTTACAAGGAGAGAGAGAAACATCGACATGAGAGAGACACATCAATTGGTTGCCTCCTGCATGTGCCCCGACTAGGGCCAGGGATCAAGCCTACAACAGAGGTACATGCCCTTGGCTGGAGTTGAACCCGAGACCCTTCAGTCCTTGGGCCGAAGTTCTAACCACTGAGCAAACTGGCTAGGGCGTGAAACCCACTGTTAAACCAATCAGGTGAAAGAGATGGGAAGGAGAGTGCCCCAGGGAGTGGGAACAGCATGTTCAAAGGTCCTGTGGTGGAAGGAGGCTACAGATAACGGCTTTGGATCCCTTCCAAGGAAGGCCCCAACCCCTGGCAGTTATTCACTAGTATCTGAACCAAACTGAGCTTAGAGAGCTTGGGGTCACTGGGGAGGGAAGAAAAGAAGGGGCCTGGCCTGGCAGCTCTGTTGGTGCCTTCCTAGGAATGTGCTCCCTCCTAGAAAAACCCCAGTAAACATACAGAGCACCTGCTGTGGTCCTAGGCCTGTACTGCCTCATTCCACCCCGTCAACAATTGTGGCAGGTAGAGACTAGTATTATTGCTGTTTTACTGATGAGAAAACC